CCCCACCAAAGCACCCTGACACACTTTTTGGAGCTTTAGTCTTCGGGGAACATCATCAACTGGACCGCTGCACACTCGAGCGCGGAAGGCGCCCATGCTACGAGTTTATCTGACAACTTTGATGCAAGGTGAGTGGGCCGCTTCGGAGCACGTTTTGCTGTGACAGCGGGTGCCCCCTGTTTATTTTGCAGACACAATAGTCTAAAAAAGCACGATCCTGCCAGAGAGAGAGCGTCCCAAGCCCTCCCGAGCTCCCGCCTGACTGAGGAGATCAACACACTCATTTATGCGGGTCTCTTTCCCCGCCGTCTTGATGTCCGATCACAAACTAAACCAATAGTCCGTGTTGGCTTGAACCAAACATTGTACAGACGGAATAGAGTGACGGCCGCCAAGGGTAGGAGTTTTCTTCAGGCGTCCAGCAACTCTGCCCGAGTCCCGTCTTGTCGACCATGAACAACGTGGTGCGAGGACAAGGAGGGCGGGAGATAGCGGTACGTCAACATGGGCGAGGTTCTACTCTTGTTCCTGGCCCCCCCAACCCAACTGTTAGCAGCACACTCAACCCTTACACCCGTAGGTGTGCCTAGGTTATTTCTATGTGGGCCGTGCCATCCAGGGCTAGCCATGGCGTTGAGATCCCTCCTTTCGACGGCGGAGGCCGGCTCGTCGTCAAACAACATGGCCAGCTTGGTTCCACCGTACCGGAACTTGCTGGCCACGCGAGCGGCTAGTTCTTCAGGCGTCGGCATCGAATCCGCCAAAAGACTCCCGTCTTCAAGCCTAGGCAGTAATAAGTTTGTTGATCGTGGCCAAACAAACGAAAACAGCAATGTTATTGCTACAGTCTACGCACGGCACGCGCGTTCTTCAATTATTGGTGGCGGGTGTACGGTGGAACTAGCATGCCTGTGAGGACGAGCAAATTCTGTGAGTAACCTCGTCAGTCCAAAACAACTCGTCTTGGTCAAGCATTCTTATCAGGGCAAGGGGGGCAGGCACCGGAGGGTTGGGGCACGGAATATTGCCACCACAATAGCCTTGCAGATTTGCTGTTATGGCGGTAAGCAGCTTGAGGGGGGCACATGTCTCACACGTAACCGGAGGTAAACGATTCAACCTACATACAACGGTTTATTTAATGTACTCACGCTGTGCGACCCAGGCGATACTAAAATGGCCTTACACGTGCTGAGGGATGGCTTTACACATGCACCGAGGGATGTGAAAATTGGTTCGAATATATCGCGGCACACCTGGAGGGCGTTCGTGGTTCCCATAGCCATTGCACTCCCGAAATATAGTCGACCCCCGCGTCAACAAGCGCCGCCACTTCTCCCGGTATCGGTCCTGTGCGCCACCGGGGCCGGACAGGCATCTCTGCCATCTGATTGGCCAAGAGACGGTTGACCGAATTGTGGATGACATTAGGCGGAACGAATAGTGGATGACATGAGCTTCCGCAGGCGAAAAGTGACTAGCTCGGGCCGGCTTAAGCAATGGTCGCTCGAAGGCGGCAGCACCAGTTAGTCGCCAGTTTGGGTTGGCTTGGTTAGCAAGCGCTGCTGAGAAAGCCAAAATCGCGAGAAGTCTATCGACAAGAGAAAACGCGCGCAGAAATGCCAAACTACGAAAGTGTTTCCCAAAATGCATCCTCGAGCAAGTGGTATGGGTGAGAGGGCTTTGACTACTGTAGGGTAGGCAACGAGGCAGACCGGACTTCTCACGAACGAATACACCTTGGCGAGACCCAATTGAAACGAACCCCAGGGTACGGAAATTGGCCTCTCTTACGGTTACGCTCCTTGAAAAGTTGACGTGGAAAAGTCCAGGCGTCACTTTACAAACTGTTTCCCAACGTTGATTCGTTCGTGAGATTGGGTGACCAACAAAAGGCCTGGTAACTGTAGCAGGCTGAATCTCGAACCGACGTCTGCGCTTAAGCAGCAGAGGGCTTAGCACACCGTACAGCATGTACACACTGTCCGTGACAGGGAATGCCACAGTCGGCTCTCGAATGACGGCAGTAATTCTCCGTTGCAATGAGGGGCATTGAGAATTTTTCTCACGAATAGCGGCGCCTTGGAAGCAATTTTTTCCGGCGATTCGCCTGTCGACCTAACACAGCACTCGGGCCCGACATGTTGAGCCCTCTCACCTCCAACCCCTCCAACCCCTTGGAATTTAGTACTTGTCGTCCAGCCTGAACCGCGAGAGATACGGCCAGCAGACGCCCCTTTTCGCCGAACTGAGGATAGAGTAGGACCAACCAAGTGGGACTTAGGTTTTCTAGCACGTTGCACGCGCACGTCGTCGGCTGGGCATGGAGGTCCTTCAAGAACTACGTGTAGCACGCGACTCCCCCCGTTTGCGATAAACAAGCCCGACGTTGCTTGGTGGTTCAGTGAACCAAGGAAAAGTAACGATGTCGCACAACTACCGACACTCATCGCCACCGAAATTATAGCACACCTCATGTTCGAAGATAAACGGGATCAGAACCTCAATCTACACCTGAGAGCACCCCTCTGTGCTTCTTCACCGACTAGTTTCTTCTACTCTCGCGGATGGCTGGGTTGATTGCCACCGTTCTCGTGGAAGGACGCTCGGCAAGAAGTACTCGGTTGCAATTCGGCTGGTTTTAGTGACGTGGTTTACCTTGAATCTGGTTGGTATTTAGCACTCGCACCTTGGTCGTCCTCAATTGCAGGTCGGCGATGTACTTCGCCTTTGTTTCGAACTCTGCCACAGCCCCTGCGTGTCGCAGGGCCATCTGTTTCACGTACTCCGCGCACATCCTGACCCTCAGGTCTCCCGGAGGGTTGATCAGCGGGTCTAGCAAGAGATGCGCCCGAATCGTCGCCTTTTCCCCCCGTGCCTAACGTATTGGCACCACGTTGTGCGATTGGTTGTTGTTGTTGTTGTTGTTGTTGTTGTTGTTGCGGATGGTTCCACAGCAACGCCGTTCTGGCGTCCGTTGGAGTATTCTTCCCTCGGCGTTGTTTCCGGCTTTCGTCATACGTCAGCTCGACCTCTACGCCCGCGGGTCACCCCGACCAGCTTCTCTGTTCAACACCGTTCGTTTCTATGAACACAATCGTTCGGCACGATTCAACCATGCAGAATGTAGTTGGTTTCTGGGACCCGAACGAACGGGCAATCGAGCAAACAGAGGGACACTGGGTAATTAGTGGCCCGTCGCTTGCACACGGTTCGTTCTCACGATAATCAACCTCAAACACAACGGCCCGTCTTGAATCTTGTTTTTGCCACTGACCTGTTCTTCTTTGAACTGCCGCAAGGCTTTCCCCTTTACAGCGCCAAAGCCGCCTTCCCGCAGCAAGTCGATGCCGCCCCCGCCGCCGCCGCCACCGGGAGCTGACGCTGACGCCCGTGGGTCGTGCCGAACGACACCCCATCGCAATGCGCTTTCTCCTAATAGCGCCCCTCCAAACCCTGCCCCGTCGCCTTGGTGATTGTTGCTGTTGGTGCTCTCGTGTGCGAAAAGAGAAGCCTCATTTCGCGCCCTCCAGATTTCGTCGACCTTTAGGTTGAATCGGATCGGCATGCAGTGGCACTGTCATTCCAGATAGACAATGTTTGAAGGGGTGGTGTCTACGAAGAAACCCCGCCGAGGAAACAGGTGACAGTCTTGTCATGAAGTACACAAACGCAGGTACGCAGCCCGGTAAAAATGTTCCCGTTCCGCACGCGCGCGTGCACAGTACGCATGCGATGCACAAGCTCGTAGAAACGCGATTCGACGTTCTATGGCGTCGGTGAATTCCCGGTCAGGGCAGCGAGTTACCTTCACGTCCACTCTTCGGCTCACTTCCTTCTCCCACAACCTGCACATGACGCGCCTGCACGCCGCCATCTCTTGCTGCCTCCGCCTCCACCATCGTTGTAGCCGTGCCAGCTGCACGTGGGCGTGCGCCACTCTCCAGGCCAGAAGCTTCACCCTCGTCCTTACGTCAGAGCTGATCGTCAACGTTCGAGGAAGAGCGGGAAGGGGGCTCTTTGTTTTCGCCATCGATCGGCGACTGTAGCAGGCGCCACGGGAGTTGTACCCTTCGTTGTTGATGTAGACATGTACAAGTTGTCGTGCAGAACAGGTCCACAAGTTGCGGAATAGGCCACAAGTTTCACGCCAAGGAGATACCAAAGTACAAACGGGGGACTTCCATTAGCACAAACACCAAGCGGATCTGATCGATCTGTGTTTTGTGTCTGATCGATTTGTCTACTGTGTATGGACTAATCGCTCAACTTCTTGTGGAGGTTCAGCCCTAGTTCTACCGTCCTCGCTCTCTTTTCGACGCTCGGGGAAGATTTTTCCGAGAGAACCTTATCCTTTGCTCCATCGTGAGCAAGAAAATCGGTAATTTAGCGGAAGAAAGCAGAGGTACACTCTTGGTAGTCGGCCAAGCAACGTTAGTTGACAAGTGTTTCTCAGAACCCCTCTCTAGCCCATTACCGCACACAGAAGCAAGGAGAAGCGCTATACTGCAAGTTGTGGCACCATCAAGGTTGGACTGTTGTTGCCGAAGAGTGAGGGAAAAATCGTTACCTCTTCACGTCGGTTAGAAACCTCTTGAGAACAGCCGTGGCTTCGGTGTCTCGCTTAGTCTTCCACCTTGCAGCAGCAGAGGGAACCGAGTGAACATACAATTAAGAGCTTGAAGGGAGGAAGGTACACGCCTACCTAGTACACGCTACGGAGACGGTCAAAATCGCTTGTATCTTATTTGTGTGTGGTCAAAGCTACACAGATTGGCCGAAGATTCCGTGCGGTGGTTCTATCGGAAAGCGTGAGACACCACAAGGCCCTCAATAACGTTCCGAGATTCGTGTTCCGATAAGGAGACGAGATATCACGTCAATGTCATTATTTCGGTCGCTCCGGTGGGGGGAGACATCATATAATAATCGGCCCCTCAGCGGATTGTGTCCGCGAATGCATCCGTGACCCTTTGTAAATTAATTTCTACCTCACGGCAAAACCATGCTCAAGCGCGTGGAAAATACCGCCATATCCTGCTACAGGCTTGGAGGTTCGAGTCACTCCCTGACACAAATTGCTAACAGCGACGGCTTTTCGGTTGACACCCTCTGAATGCGTCAGAGGAAGGCACATCGATTCACCCGGCCCGGAGTGAAACGAAAGGACGCCTGATTCTGCTTAACTGAGCATGGAACCGAATTTTCCCGTGTTTATTCAAGCTTGCATGTGTACCTTACACTCGTCTCTCCACACAGTGTTTTGTCGCGAATGCTCCCGCTACTCAACCAAGCCGGACCCAACGTAGTCTAGAACCTGGATGGATCGTGGAACACCTACCTTCGGATTTTCTTGGCAAACTGATTGTCGATCACCTTTGTGGCCACCTCGACGCGCAGCTTGAACCTGTCGAAATGCAACCGTCGGATAGATGAGAACGAGCGCGTGCGTTCAACATACCAGGTCGGAGTGAGGGCGAGAGAACAGCCAAGCAAGGCCGCCCGCTGAGGAGCCGTACAACAAGAAAGAGCTTCAGCTTGCGAAGCGGAACAATAGTCATACGGGCCGCTTTATTGGGGCGATATATTGACAACGAACCCTAGGTGCCCATGCCGGGGCTTACGCTAAGCTGCGATGGAATTAGCTCTCATAGTCTTATGGGATACGTTGACACTACGGCAGCCGGTGATGATCCGCACCTAAGTGGGAGGGTGCACATGACGGCAAGAGAGAGCAGGTGATGGATACGTGCACCCGCCCACTACGGCGTCATTTTTGTCGAAGTCATAGCAAGAAGGAGCGCCAACACAGAGTCTTGGGTCAGCCCTACCTATTAATAGCACCTGACACAACGTCTGTGATTCAACAGGACACCAAAAATCGAAGCTCACAAGCCGTCTGGCGATTGGAGTCAAAAATGGCAGGCTTACTATTCCTTCACGTGCAGCCGCGACACGGCTCGACGAAAAACAATCGCACGGAGACCTTACGCCAGAAGCATGAAGTAACAAAGACGCTACAAAGATAGTTTCAACATTTTCGTAACGCTGAGGACGGTGCCACTTGCAGGCCCGCAGAGAGCTGTTTGTGTAGGCTCTGCGTCGTTGTGACCCTGCGAGAAGAGGCTTGGTCGTACGGTCGCGACGATACTCAATTTTGGCGTCATATTATTCACTCCATCCCCGCTTTCGATGTGTCACGAAAAACGCCTGCCTTCCTGTGCTGGATGAAATCTGACGGTTGAGGGTTTTCCCGACAAAAGGAGCCCATCGTCTCGGCATAACATTATCTCCTCAACACCGGGGACATTGCTGTACGCGTGACGATATACGTCTGAGAGCACTGCCGACGACATGATACTGCCTCACACGAATGGAGTATGTTCTAGCAGGGTGAAACCGACCGCGCTTGAATATGCAGACTTTAAAAAAAAATTTCAACGTGATTGGGCTTGAACTGAGAGTGAGTGTTAAACGCTTTCTAGCATCGGCCCTCCACTCCGCTTGGAAGATTATTTTCCCTGAAAATGCCGGTAGTGTCCGGCAACTCAGCGTACCTGTGCCGTGCGACCGCCATGACGTGCCTCGTGATGACCTTGGCTGCCTCCGCGCGTCTCTTTTCATCCTGGCAGCGTCCGAAACGGAAAGACGCAAAGCGGCCACGATCAGTTTACAACTCCTTGACTGTACCTGTCTGATTGTGGTGGCGGCAACCGGTCTGCACACGCTTACGAGCATCATTCTGTCGGGAACATCACATGCCTTGCGAAAATAGTTTTCTTGTGGTTGGTTGACTAGCTCTTGGAGTTCGAACTGTGCCGATGGATGCCTTGAAAACATCGCCACAAGTGCGACCGTCAATAGCTACCTTGCAGCTGGTGAATTGGGTGGGTTTGTCTCGGTGCGACATTCGCCCGAACGGTCGGGTGTGGTTGGTACGTCTGCTACCTCGATGCCGTCGAGCCCGTTGACCACCCAGGCGACCGCCGCACGCATCTTGAGCGCGGTGAGCCAGCCCTTCGTTTGCGCCGCCCGCCCGCGGGCCTGCTTCGTCCGCTCTCGCCGTGCCTCGCTCTTCTGTTCCTTGACGGTCTGATTCTCCCTCGCAGCTATATCTTGATCGCCTGGACGTGCGAAGTGCGTAATCTGCTAAATGAAAGAACAAGCTGTGAATATTGTGTTGTTACGAAAAAGGTCTTGGTATTTCGTACGTAGATGGTGGACCATGGTATCTCTCATTGAACTGGAATTCACCGTGATATCTCTCGTGGAGCTGCATGAGCGCAAACTAAGTACTTCGTTCATGCCGCCGAGAGACAATTCTTGAAGGTTACGGGCGACGATATCGCAAATGCATACGACAAGAACGATCGGATCATTTCGTTCAGTAAGTTACGTGTGCTACTCTCCTGGTCGTGCACACCCTAATCCCATGCCCTCGTGGCTAGGTAAGGTTACTTCCCGCGGAGCGAATGGTAGAGATCACAACTGTCCGCTAGTCTTGAATCCACTTCAAAACGCCGTACAGTGGGGGCTACGGTTTAAGAGAGGGGTGTGCAGGACCAAGAAGGCCTCCCTTAAACACGACCTTCTCTTTGTCCGATTTAAGAGAGGTTTATCTTAAACAGGGATTTCAGTTTACGAGAAACCTAACTAAAACCGAGCATATGGATTTTTAAAGGGTCAAACCTGATCGAAGCGATGAAAAATATTTATTTATTGCAAAGTTTTTTTTTCCACAAAATATGTTCGTGCGTTTAGGCCCTCACCCGGCGTGATTCTGCCTTATGGTTGTGTACGAAGCACAACAGAGCACAGCAGCAGTAGCAAATAATGCAATTCCGTGGTCTCCAAGATGTAAAGCAGTGTATTTCGGCATGGATGGATGCTTCATAAACAACAGAGTGGGGGGGGGGGCGTGCTCTAATCTAATGTTTTGCATGCCTTACTTGTTAGCAGTTAGACCTTGACCACGCGTCCTCGAGCGGATGGAGCATTGTTCCCACAGGAGGACCGATCACCGATGGCCAATCGTTCCTTTGTACTTTCTTTGCCAAAAGTTTCTCAAAAGCGCTTTCCCTGCAGCATCAGTATACGTAGTCCATCTCTCCTATCCATACGACTTCCCGCCTTGTCAACCCACTTCCTCTGCCTGCCCCAGTACAGCTACCGCCTTCTCCCGGACATTCCATGCCTCAAATATCTCCCCTGTAATATAACCCCCTTCCTTCTGATTTTCCCAGCTCAGCCATGTACAAAAACGTCCTTCCCTCTCATTCTTGCACAACGGACATTCCGCAACTACATGAAAATGAACCCGGTCTTCGCACTCGGAGCCGCAATGATATATATTTAACTTGTCTTCATCGTCTGCCTTCCTAAATCTTCGCCTACTTTCTCGAAGGCCAATTTCCCCGGTCCTGAATTGAACCTTCAGCTTTGTCCTTCACCATATCCATGCAGTAGGTAATCCTTGGACCTTTCCTTCTTTCAACATTCCGTACCCATCTAGTCTAGACCCTCTTTATCCTTGGTTTCTTCGTTTAGATTATTATGTTCTTCTCTCTCGGAAAGATCAACACAACAGCGGGGGGCCCGCGGGCATCCGTGGGGGCTGTTTGTCTCGCTAGCTATGATCACATGAATGTACAACAGTGGTGGGGGACAGCTGATACGGCAGTGGGGGCTACGGCTTAACTGGGCTACAGGGGGGGGAGGGAGTGGGGGGCAGGTTCGGTTTAAGAGAATCGGGGTTCGATTTAAGAGAGGGGTGTCTTGCTGTTTCGACCTCTCTTGAACCGGCAATCCTCTTAAAGTGAGCTGTACCGCGTCAAGTCTGAGTGCGGAGAGGGAAAAAATGGCATGTCACATGCGGGGAAGCAATGTATATCTTGATCCTTCTACTGGCGGAGTTCTTGTTCGGACGAAACGTCAATTGCCGTCAACCGGCCCGTTTCAACTCTCTTTCTTAGTACCCCCGAGACGAGGCGATGGCCAAGCTTTGCCAGTCGGACGATAAACAGGACGGAACGGAAGGAGGAAGCGTTCTCTCCTGCTCCTGTTTTTTCTCACTCACGTCGGCGTCTCTGGCATGACGACACCAAAGAACGGATGCGCTCTTCCCTCGCCCTCTTCCACGCATTCGCTCGCCTCGTCAGGACCGCCTTGGTGTCCGGATCAAGTAACGTCTGCGTTGCCCTGCTTGGGCGATGGCCAAGAAGAAAGGATGCCGGAGAGAACGAATGAGTCTTGAAGCAAACAACTAGAAGCAAACCACGCTTTCGTAGGAAGTCATTTCGCCATTCGTTTTTCATTGTGCATCCACCTTCGAGACAGACAGACAGACAGACAGACAGACAGACAGACAGACCTGTTCGCTTCAATCCCCCCGGAACGTAGACGCTCGACCACACCCGCTTTCCGCTCCTGTTGTTCCGTGCAGTGGGCGGAATGTAGGGAGCGACGGCGTTGTTAATTTACGCTGCTATCGCTGTGGTTGCTGTCGCTTTACGTGTGCCAACCGTGGTGATTGCGATGGTATGTTACGGTGGGGGATTGATTTGGTGTCATTTGAAGAAACGTACAACCCAAAGCGACAACAAACCTGAACACTCCTCGACGAACGTACTCTTACAACGAGTTTGCTTGTGACCGGTCACCGCCGAAGCAGAAAATTATCTAACTCGCAATAGCTACAGGTGGCCACGTGTCAGGAGTCGTGGAGATTCCGCCCTCAGCTGTGCCCCGACGTGCTTCCCGTTCTTGTTACCGAAACTCGGCAATGGAGCTCCTCGCGGCCCAACAGAGCACAGTCCGTTCCATCCGCACAAAACTGCCAGTGGAAACCTTGACGCGACGTATTGCCGAAACCTTTTATCAATTTGTTCCAGCCAAAGTTTTCCCTCCCCACCGTCTGTCAGCAGACCCGTCGCAGAGGTCCACATCCTTAAGCCCGGGGATCACACTCACGAACGCGAGCCCAAAATCAACTGGCCTCGAACAACACCAATCTTGCGACTGCCTGCGGGCTATCAGTCTGCCCCGCCACGCTGCCAGCATGCCGTGCAAAATCCACCGACCCGCCGTGTCAATCAATGTTTGGAGTGCTCCGCAGAGTACTGTCTACGGGGCCTTTGGGGGGTACGCGGATGATATGTGTTTATGAACATGCCGCGCGGCGATGGTCTTGCCTTCCGCATGTCTTGTCGCTCGTTGATGATACAAAGGTCTTGAGTAAACCGTTTTTCTCTTCAAGCCTCTGACGAAGCCACCGAGCCAAACAACCTAAATCTGCACAGCAACTGACCCGCACTTTAGAACTTGATAGTCAAGGACTTGAGCCTAAAAAAACAAAATTCCAAAATAGAAGAAGTTGACCAAAGAACAGGTGCCCAGTCAAGAAGCCTATACTGAAACCTATATCGTCGCCGTGCGGGTACCTCACAGACAAAATACGAAACGAGGCTCGGGCAGAATACGAGGTTCTCAAGTGCGCGTCCAACGTGTGAACCAAAGCCTTACCGCGTCGAGAGGGCAGGCCCTTTGTAGCTCCCGCTCGACGTCCTTGCGCGTCTTGGGGATTGGCCTTGGAGCATCCCCGGACCACGCCAACCTTCTCTCCTGCACCTTCCTTTTTTCGATGATGCTGGCCACCTTCTGGAGGAACTCCGCTCTGTGTCGTTTCGCGGGACAAAAGCGTGAGGAATCGGGGCGCATTCTCAGAGTTCTTGAGTGGGTGGTTAGATGCCCAGCTAACGGATTTCTCGCCGTGCTGGCTTCCGGTTGTTGTTGTTGATGATGATATTGTTGTTGTTTTTTGTTGACATCTGTAGACCTGTCTCCCTTTGTGACAGCACTGACCCCTCTCCAACGTACAGGCCGACAAACAAAGTGATTCCACGCCGTCTTTTCCGTTTTGCGTGGGAATCCGGCGTAATCGAGAGATTGCTTGAGCAGCGAAGCCCGCTTCAATGCCAAGCACCTAAAACTGACCCCGTGATTGATCGGTCGTGCCCATACAAGTTGCATTTCTTGATGTTGAGGCGCTGACGAGAAGCATTCAGGCCAACCTGACACGTTGCTGACCACCTCGAATGCCACCGGCGGGGGAAAGGTAGGGCTTCCGAACTGCAGAGCAGCCAAGAGCGACAATAGCGGATGCCATCTTGCGCCTCAGTCCACCGTAGATCGACTTTGTGAATGGCATATCGAGGTGGCCGTGCTTACGCTTGCGCTCTTTTATGGCGAGCGATCCTTGTCATGATTTCGTCGCATCCTCGCGCCACTAGTCTAGAGCATATTCAACAATTCAACTTCAATAACAATAAAGGCAGCATAGGCCTGCATCATACAAATCAATCTTCACGAAAAGTACCTCGCGTCATCGTCCGCTCTCAGCGCATCAAGCCTCCCCTCAATCACTCGGGCCGAGCCTCCCCGCTCGCCTGTGTGCCTCCCGCTCCTGGGCGCCCGGGCGGCCTGGGATATCTGTGCTGGTGCCCTTTTCTTTCGCGTTGTTGCCCCAGGTGGCGCAGTTTCTGGCCGTTTGCGTCCGGACCCTTGGGCGTTTGGTGGTGCCTTTCCTTTAAGTCGGATAACCATATAAAAGTGTGAAAAAAGCATGACGGCGGTTTTGGTCGTTTTTCCTCCGACTGGGATCATGGGGGATGTAGGATCTGATGTCAGTATTCTACACGCGTGACAGCCGAGGCTCGGCCTTCCATTGCTACTTCGTACATTCCTATCTATCCTCACAAGCAGATATCCAATGCAGGTGCCAACGAAGGTCCCCTCTGACATCACGCACGCTCGGCTCGGCCGGCTCGAGCGCAACCAGGGTTTGGACACAACGTGAGAGGAAACACAGCGTGAATGGAAACGCAACTATTGAACCTTCACAGAAACAGCTCCCGTAGTTCTACATCGAGGCCTGATCAAGGTCCCATCCCTGTCAAGCCATGGAGTCTGTCCTAAATGCTCTGTCAATTCACCCAGGGGTTGTCAGGGTATCTTGTAAATGTTTTCTCTCTTTCAAAAAGAAGTCGAAACTGAGCTTAGAAGCCGAAAGAGCTGTGCAGTGTCCCTCCTCTTCGAACCGGGGACACACATATCCACAGCTACCTTCTCATCATGTTTCATACTAACGCCGTGCCTACTCTTCAGATTCCTGCACCTCTGCCCAATGTTTGACTTTCTCCCTCTCTTGGTGCCGTTCCGCCTCCTTGTTCAGGAACGAACGGATCTCCGGCCGAAGAAGGACGTTTCCGAACGTCCGGCAGAGATCGGGATGACGGGAATGCCGACGACGCCGGCGCTGAACGTGGTTCGGTCAATTTCTCACCATCTCTTGGAGGAACCGTTAGCATTGCCGATGATCCTACAGGGCCCCAGCTGTCGCCGCCTCCCCTGCTACCGCTCATTGTTGATGCTGGCAGCGGTTGGAGACGATCGCCTTGCGCTAGTTTGGTTCGTTGTTGGCCTGTTGTTGGAGGAGCCTGATCTGGGTAGCCTGGGTCGTGTTGCAAGGAAGTGGGGAACCACATCATCTAGGCGTGACGTTGACGGGCGGCATTTTGGACGACAAAAACTACCGGTGGAAGTGTGGACTTGCGCCCAGAAAGGGTAGGACGAAAAAATCATTATCAACAACAACAACAACAACACACACACCGTTTTGTACACGTGTCGAGCCGTCGGTAAATAATAACAAGCGGGGAGTATCACAATAGCGACAAAACTATAGGGAGCATGAAATTGACGCGAGCACCTCACATCGTGCGTGCTGTGTTCCCACTATTGTCGAAGGAAGATATTGAGTGAACAGGTTTGATAGCATGCCGACGTGACCTCTTCTCTTCGTACATGCGTGACTCCGAGCGAAATGCTTGGTCGCGCGAAGTTGATTGGTCGAACCATTTGGCTTCTTTCCAACATGAATCTGTGGGTAAAGTCACCAAATCATACACTCCGGAGTAACAATTTTTCGCTATACATCCGCCCCATGAACCGTGGGCTTCTGAACTGCTACAAGAGGCGGCGCAGAAGGGGTCCTACGTTTCCCTCACTGGGCGCCGCCCGGGCTATGCTTCTCGAGCTCGTTGTCATTGTATCCACAATGAAATATTGTTCCAATCTCTGCTCAGTACCTTGAAACTTGAAACATCCGTGGTCCAACTGACTTGGGCGCACCCGTTGGGCACGAGGACGTCGTATGCCGCGAGGGTATATTGCAGATTGAGAAGTTTTGAAACAACAAGCCATTGGGGTTCCATAACACCCCCGCGCGGGCCGCTTTGATAGTCACACCAATTTCGAGACCCATGTATAGCACCACGGTAACGAAGCTACAGCAGTAAAGACCTCTCTGTTGAATGGTCTGCTGTCGTCGTCATACGCATGCGAGCGGCAGTGCGCTCCCAAAACACAGCACTTTCACCAGAGAAGGGTAGGAAAATTTCCACATGGCTTTGCCAAACTACTTTGAGGTGGCTGAAGTACCGGAGAAATCGCAGGGTTCGTTGTGCAGAGACAAGCGGACACGCACTACAGCAGATTATTCGACGTAATCCGAAAAGTGCCAGCGGTCGCCCCGGTGGTCTAGTTGGTGAAAACTTTTAAGAGGTCAGGTCAGGGGTTCAAATCCCAGCGTAAGCGAGCTTTTCTTGCAAAGTGAGTTTTTCCCTCGCTTTCGCTCCTGACCTAGAGGATAGCGCTAGTTCGTGTGTACACAGAGGGAAATGAATGCTGAACTCTTCTCGCATTGAAAATCGAAGGCAAAGTACCGCAGGAGGGGAGAGTAGAGAGGGGCTCTTCTGTGTGACCACGCGTTGGGGTAAACGGCGCCAGCGCTGTGAGTGCTGATTTGAAGTGAAGACAAAAAAAAAAGTATATGTCAACCATGGTACCTTGCAAATGTTCACTCCCTTACACCACACCTCCCATGTTTGGCGATTCCCCGTCAGTTCTACCTCTGATCCCACTGTGTGCTGCCCGTATCACGGTGTTGCGGGTTGTGGTCACAAAGCATGCTCAGCTGTGCGAGCTCTCTCGCTCTTCCCAAATTAGTGGGACGCGGGGCCTCGCGGAGCCTAAAATATGCGGGACAATTGCGCACTCGTACCCGAACCGCAACAAGGCTCAAACGTGTATTGAGGATTGGGGCACCGAGCATGCCACATGTTTCTCTTACTGCTGAATTCTTAGGGGATCAACTGCAGCACCAACTTCTATGACGAATTTGGCGTTGTAGTCTCTCGCTGGGCGCAGCAACCACAAGGTTAGTTGAAGTTGCTGATAAGTGAGAGTGATTCCGCCGCGTTCTGTTGCAGCACCCTGAGGGTGCTGCACCCTCCGTGCCTCGCCATTTGGCAGCAACCAAACATGTGCAGCTTTAATGTCGAGAAAATGGGGAACTCTCCGCATTCGAAGGGTTCTATTTTGACCGTAGCCATGTGACAATGTTTTTTTGAGTTTGGTGCATTGTATGTATAGTCAGTAACTGAGGCGTCGCTCTTTGACGTGCAGACTCACCTGCTTAGGCGAGACGTACCAACGCCACCTATGGCAGACTGCTGTGCCTCGGGGGAAGGTCACCTGCCTGAAAGGCAGCTGGTCGCCACAACCTAACCATTTCTATGAACTGTCCACGTGAATGAGCCGAATTTCGCTCCACTGCTGTCTATCGCGTATGAACCGCCTCAAACAATGCCCAACTTTGAAACCATGTCATTTGTAGCCCTGACCTGGTTGTACAGCAGTATGTACAGCAGTAGGACAGCGGTAGGGTTCACCAAGTCTACTTCAGTCGATCGCAGGACATATTCGATAAACTCTCTCCGTGCTGCGGTCTCGGCTCTATGGATTCAATTTGATCTCATATAGATCAAAGGCAACCGTCTGTTTGCAATTCCTCTGTTCTGTAGATAATCAACCACACCAGGTGTACATACCTACCGGGTTAGGCGTTGCAGTATCTCAAGCCCACTGTGCTTCCGACGAGGTACACTTGCTGCATCTATGAGTACTGCGTGCCAGTCGCTACTCTGTGCCTATTTGGCGGCGTTGGGTCTATGGACGGAAAACTCTTCCACACACACACAGAGCGAGAGAGAGCGAGAGAGAGAGAGCAGAGAGAGAACAGAGAAAGAGACAGACAAAATGAGACAGCGCGAACGGGCGAATAAATAATAATAATGCGATCGCGTCGTGGTGCTTGGTGCTCTGCTGTCGTTCTGATTGTCGCAGTATGCACTCTTGTACACAAACCCGTAAGATCCGATTCCAGAGCCGTTAAGGGCTCTATTCTAACGCTGCCTTGTGCTTCTTTCCTTGTGCTTCCTGAGTGCATCAGTTGATTGACTGTGCGCAGGCAAGGAGGCGACCGATACATCAAGAAGGAAAGCGTAATGTCGTCGCCTCCTCTAGGACAGGCGATGACGGAGGCAGGGGGCGTTTTCGACTTGGATGGGGACCCAGAAGGCGCGGAGGGACACGAGGGAGGTTCCAGCCTCCAAGCCGTTCTCGCCGCGAGCCGCCAACGAGCGGAGGCGAAGAGCGCGCAGGTGCGCTCCCGTTTTTCATGTTGAGTTCAGTGCGATCTGTACCACACCCTGCACAATATACAATACAGTCAACGAATATCGATACGTTCCTATCGTAATACGCCACGTTGGTGGCCGTAACACGCATTGACGAGTGTCTGCACAATGTATCGTTCGGGGAAATACATATCGATTGAGAGTTTGTGGACCTGCTGCTTGCCACGATGTCCGATAGCATGTCCTTTCACAACGCATTACAAGGGCCAGTGTATATCGTTCGACGTGGGTGCTGTTCAGGGCGATTTGATGCAATATATCGACGGAAAAACGTGTTGGATGCAACAACGTGTATCGATACACGTAACAGCGATGTATTGCCTTTGGTAATAAATGTCGATACACAGAACATGTTGTTTGTTGCTCTCCCGACACGTATCGTTGCTCTTTTTTTTTTTTTACGTTGCACTGTCCTCGATTGATTGCCCTGACAAACTTATCGATACGGGGACGCCTATTGCATACTCGGAGTATAATTTGTCCTTTCGATATCTATTGGTGGTGCAATGACGGCGGTGCAATGCTTCGAAACGCCGGGGGCCAGAGTTACAAACTTGTCATGATCTCGTATGCATATCGGATCCCAGTGTGTTCGATTCTGATTTTCATCGTATGTGTATGAATGTCAAGTAGTCTAGATGCGTTGGGAAATGATTGTTGCACAAGCACAACACATTGATGTTGTGGGCGCCAGAAGGTTTAGGACACGAGGAAAATAGCCTATCGTGGGCCCGACAGAGTGCCCTTACACCCTGGACAATACATGTATTCGTTGATTATTGGTCCCGCCACAGAGTTGAAAATTCGGTAATCGATACCTTTTGCTGCCACAAATGTGTTGATTCCAAGTGTATCGATATGTATTGTGAGCAACAATAGATTAAGAGCAACGGAAACAATACCCCTATGCACACGCAACAGGTTAGCTACAAGTCTATCGATACGTATCGTTTCGATCGGCATACCTCGGTTTTGTCCGTCGATGGACTATCGGGGATAAAATACATTTTTTGCTGACTTGGATCGATATATGTTGGAGGAACAGTATGTTGATAAATGTAGCGACCAATACCTATTGTCCGCGTAGTACGTTTACAACTGAATTCATCGATACAAAACATACGTGTTCAACGGAACGTATCGATTTCCGCGGCTCCGTATTGCCGAACAATACTCTATCGGCATAGTAAAACCGAACGTATCGGTAGCAGCAATGTATGTCGGAGCGATGTTTGCCGAACCGTGTTGGAGATCAACGCATATTGCAACTATGACTTCGAATCTATCGGCAAGAGCAATACATATGGAATGATTTATGTCAAGCCTATTGATAATTTAATAGGTATTGCTCACAATCGGCGGAACATGGTGATGTAAGCAATACACATCGATCGATGTGTTCCTCACATCTTGAACCAAACGATATCATTTGATGTGAATTTTCAATACATATTGACTGCACCAATAAGCTTTACATATGGTTTTGTCCAACCTGTGCTCTGTACACGCGTCCCCGGAATCAAATTATGCCCCCCCATGACACATATACCGCACGATAATAGCCGGGGTCGAGAATAGGTACACGATGATGATTGGTATGTCCAATGGCCTTTTTTATGCATGAGGTTTAGGCAACGGGGTACAAGTTAGGATACTTCGCCATGGAATGCAACAGCGTGGGTAGAAAATCCTTCGGAGTCAAGGGCGGGCAAACCTCGCTCGATGTTGATAATACCGCCTGTGGTCGTACATATGGGCTGCCACACAGACTCAAACCTCATTTCCCACATCCCTCCGCAACATTTAATCAACGGATGCTGCTAACGAATGCGAAACATAAATATGCGGTAGTTGCAGCATTTTCTGGACTCTCATCGGACTAGAGATAGACCCATCCTACGCCGCACAAGAACTGGTTGGGTGAGTAACTAACAACAGCGTCATCTTTGTTTTACAGGAGCTACAGCTCGAGCTGGAGGCCGTCAGGTTGAGGTTGCTGAGGCGGAGCCAGATCATCGATGCCCTTCGGTCGGCCTATGTCCGAGATGTCGTCATCGTCAAGAATGAGCTCATGCGCAAGTCCGCCATGACTGACGAGGTAGAATGGGTTCCTAGGCGATGGGTATGTATGTATTGACGTTTTTCTCATGTGTTATTCAAGCATTCCGACGTTAAATAGCCTTACGTTTGACTTTGCCGGCAATTTTACTTGTTGCGCCTACATCGAAGCCTTCCTGGCAGTCAGTCCCTATACCTAAAAACAAATATGGCCAGAAGAAACGATCAACGGTAATGTCGAGCCTTTTGGGTGGTGCGATTCATGGGGCGCCGTTGAAGGGCACATGCTAAGTCACGGTACCGCTGTCGTGATATCTCTCGACAGCGAAGCTTGAACCGCAAGTTTGGAACCTTAAGTCGGTTCTGACCACTCTGCGTTAGGGACAACTAGTCATCGCGCTGTAGATATTCTGGTCGCTATTTCAACGCAACGACCAACAGCTCTGCACAATCCATGTTTCCACAGAGGGCAATTACAGCATCACTTCGCATTCCATGGAACGGCAAGGGTCCCATCAGACGGATTCCGCCCCACCCACCACCCTACCCGTCCATTCCGTCTACCCCTCCAACATCACTTCGACCAGTACACAGTCGTAGCACCCTCCACACGGACACGCGTTTTGATGCCATCGAACAGGAATACGTCGCTCAGGGAGGGCCGGGCACGGACATCACCGACGCCGTCCCCAGCCTGGACATGCGCCCGGTGCTTGCCCTGTTTTCCCCGGAGGACGCGTTCCTACGGATAGAGTCGTGCGCGGGCTGCGGAGGGCATCTGGAGATCGTAACCAAGGAAACCAAACGGGTCGCAAGGCTAACCAAGCGAATAAGGTTTGGCCACAACCTCCGCGTAACGCGCTCTCGTATTGTGTTGTTTTTCATCAAGTATATTTTGGGCCCAATGTACACACACCAGCCAGGAGGAATTCCCGGCCCCTTTTTCGTCCTGTGTTGTTCGTTCGTGTCGAGACTGTGTACGAAGCTCAGTCCATTAGAAGGATAGTAATCTGTTTGCTTCTTGTCTTCCGTGAGAGCCCGCCCGCTTTGTATCAGTTTTCTATTCATCCTCTCCAACTCAGTTTCGAATACTCGGAGTACATGGTTAGAAGTACGTGTTACGAGCACTAGTCTGACGCTGAGCAGCCCCCAACCCAGCGCACTTTCATTAGGCAATGCCTTCAGTAGTGAAGTCTGATATTTGATCAACAAAGGACTACCCGCTTGGCTTCTATCGTCAAGTGTTAGGTTCGTGTCAGGGTAGGGATGATACAAGACTTCCATACTCACTTGTGTGGTAAGTCAACAAGAACGAGATATGGGCACTGCTTGCGGTGTGATACACCCGCGGAGCGCAACCATGATGAAAGAACGCCCGTCACACTGTGTTATACTTTTCTCGTTCGACAACATATGAAACCGCTCTATCCCGTCTTCAAAGGAACTTGCACAAAGAAAAACGGTTCTGAGCGGACGTCACTTTCACGCTAGAGCAAATACCCAGGAACAACTCTTGGTCGTGATTGGAAGTACGCTAGACACTGCGACTTGTCTGCTCGAAGCATTGGGGCCATGCCAGTAAACGAAGCCACATTTAAAACGGCGTTTCCCGTCTCGCTGGGGGCGACTCAACACATTTTTTTGCCGAGCAGCGACTTGAACGAGGCGATGGGTGAAACCGCCAAAGAAGCGGCACAGCTCAGGGCCGAGCTGATACTAACGAGGCACCGTGTGAAGGAGCTAGACGAGAGGAACATTGTCAACAGAGATACCCTCGTGGCCAAGCTTGAACAGTGAGTAATGGGCCGGGGCTGGGAGACGTGGGGCAATGCGGTCGAGCGGGGAGAGAGGGAAGTACTGCCGTTTATTTCAGCAAACATTTAGCGTATTTCTTACATTTTGGCGTGATATGTTGCCTAGTACCTAGCGGACTTCTAGCCAGCAAGGCATTCATGTGTCAAGCCCTAGCACATAAAGTTCTTCAGCGACGTAGACTATCACAGCACAGCAGTGGCGATAGGGATGCTTGCGTAAACCTGGGGTGAGAAGAGGGAATGCAGGACTGTTAGAACAACCGGGAACGACCCTGGACTAACCAACGACTATCCCTTCTACCTTAAGCTAGCGAGTCATTCATTCGCCTTTTCACCACTCCCTCTCCTTCTCTGGAGATCATAACCATACATGAACATCCCCCCTCGAGGCAGTTACACAGTGCTTACAGCTGTCTCTGGAAGTGAAAGCACCAGAACATTAATTAACGCAGCTGCCATCCGTATGCAAGGAAGTAAGCACAAGATGCCGAACACCCT